GGGAATATAAGAATGTGCCAAGTACTGGCACGACAAGGCAGTGCCACTATCCCTTTTTCTCCCATTTCTGAACAAGTGGCTATACCACCTTAGCTGAGTCACCACTAAGAGTAACTATCTTAAACAGCAGCAAAGCTTTTTTGCTTGAGTACCCACCAATTTTAGAACTGACTGCAGAAATGTAAACATGCATCAGCCTTGTCTCAGCAGATCTGTCTGCCTGTTCCTTCTTCCTTTACATGATGTCCATAACACACTGTGAATCCATAGTTCCTCCAACCCCAGCCTCCACCTCCCAAAGTGAAAAGCTGCCCAGATGTCTGACATAACACCTGTCCATTATTGCACACTGTGCAAGACCGTGGCTCTTGGTATTTAAAATCCTTGGAAMGAAGGCAGAATCTAAAAATTAAGATCTCTGGAGCTTCCAAAAACTGCACGTGAGGGCGTTCTGCCATAACGACTGAGTAAATCAAACAGCATAAACAAAAATCTTCATTACCACAGAAACAAGATCAGTGAGCTGAAACAGCTTGGCATGGTTCCTGTCTCAGTGGATTCACCTCTGAGATATCCACAACCTTGAAGATAATGCTGTTATTAATTGCGTCAAATCTCAAAAGAGTAAGAGCAAAGAACACAGAAAGAAACCATATGGTGACCTCAGAGAAGTCTCTGAAAAAGAAAGCCAGGCAGCTCAGGTGGGGGGAGACATTCCCAAAGATTAGAAGGCAAGAGCAGAGATCACTTTCTTTCACTGAATACTTGCAGAGGCTTTTAAGCCCTAGAGTGGAAGTTGAAGAGGAAATGGATTACAATAAACAACTCCCTTTCACCTTCTTTGGCATGAAAGGCTGAGACTTTCCTTGCTTCGGCAATCATTGAGAGCAGCAGTTTGCCTCAACTCCTTTCCATATAACTGAAAACAGCAGTGTCTGGATTACAGTCTCCCCTTATTCCTGTGACCCAGACACAGGCTTGGGTCTGATTCCTGCTCCCCAAGTTCTTCCAAGATCACAAAGAGGGAGGTAAGGCAACAAGCAACAAGGAACTCCAAGCCAAGTGCTGGAAGCTTCAGAAGTCAGAATTCTCCTCACATTTTATTGAAAATCTTCCTGTTGGCATTAATTTAAGCATTTGTATTTCTAGGAAAATAGGTTGTTTGTTGTACAAATCTGTCTATCTGTTACATCTAACAAAAAGCCGAAGTATTTTCTGCCTTTACTTTTAATAWCCCTACAGGTCTGCAACTCCACATATGAGCAATAACCTGTCTAGGCCAGAGGCTGCAGAGCTACAGCAAACTAGAAAATGAAAATACATATTGGAAATACATAGCATGCAAAACAGCACATATTGCAGCACTGTTTCATAACATGACCTCTTAAAAACTACTCACATGTTCCCTTGCTCTTCTGTAATTCAACCAGTTCCAGTACCCTGTGCAGAATCAATAAAACTGTACCAAGCCAGTTACATAATCGCTGATATCTATTTCTTAAACGATTTACCTGCTATTCTCCACTGAATTATTTTAAAAAAGTAAAAAAGCATAGAAAATGCTAAACAAATATCACAGAAATAGCCCAGCAAGCCCAGTTCTTGAGRGACTACTGCCATGTCCAAGCAAGCAACAAAAATATGCTCAGCCAGGTTGGATTAGTCTTAGCTCAGTGTGACTGTTACTTTGGGAGTTGAAGGAGGGACTTGTTATATGAGAACAGGCTTGGTTTGTACCTTACAGCATAAACGTATTCCACTTCAAAGGTAAAACATTGTATATTCCTGAATGCTGAAGGAACACATAAGACTGCCATAGGATTTCCTCTCATTTGCAGCTTGAAATTCAATGCAATATGCAGCAGTTAGCTGAAAGTGTGACTAACAGTGCTAGCTATCCAAACCCTGCAGCTCATGAGTTCCTGCYACAGCATCCCCATGGTGGGAACAATGCCACCGAGAAGGTGTGAGAGGAGTATTTGTCCACAACGCTGGATATAATCCCAGTGAGTCATRCTTTCCCCTAAGTACTGACATTCCCATAAATGCACTTTATTCAATGCAAAGCAAAAGCTGCTATTTGCACAATGTCTATGCAGCACACAGATGTCGCCCATCAGGATCAAACACAGCCACGGCTATTTAGAAGTGAACTATTGGAGACATGCTGTCATTAGACAAATCCCAACCTGCATGTCACAGAGAACATGTCCAAGACATGGCTGCAGCTCAAGATTTTTTGTGACAGCAGAGGTTTGGTTAGGTGTGATTGATACTGGGGACATGACAATTGCTGGGTAAATAGAAAGAAATATTGCATGAGCAGTGGGGAAAATAAACACAGTCACATTTCAAGAAATTTAGAGTGAATGTTTATTGATTAAAATGAAGTATGCTTTTCTTATCTACATCTTTGAAGAAAATGATGCTTTATTCCAAATATACTACTGAAACTATGCAATGACAGTAAATATATTAGAGAATTACAACTATTGAGGATGCTGTTTCACTTTTCCAATGGGCACTTCTGAGTTTTTGTGCAAACTTGTTTTACTTCACGCAGTTTTCCTACTGACATGGTCATTCACAGTAATACCTACATCTACTTGCTGAGTTATGCTAAGAACATCCATCAGCTCTGCATAATGTTTAAGAGACAGAAGCAACAGCAAGCCAGCTAATTCTTTGCAGAATAATAAATCAGTCTTCAAGCTAAAATTAACAAGTGCATGTAATTCTTCATAAATATGTCTGCCAATTTGAAGCAGAATGCAGCACGTACAATTGAGGATGCAGGTGATGGTGGGTTTTTACTGAAATGAAGACGCAGTATTTCATGCTTAGGTTTGAAAGAAGTACAGCTTAATAAAAATAAAACTTATGATTCAAGTCACTCGTTCACTTCAGAACCAATTTATGGTACATTTTACACATCCTGCAAATGATGAACAACAGCCTTGGGTAATTGCTTTCCTTACAAAGTATGGGAATCAAAGGATATGTTTTAGATGTGTGGTCACAGATATGACCACACCAATGAATTGCAAATAACCAACAAAAGAGTTGGTGATGTGCTGTCTTTGATAGATGTAGTGTTATAAATTGTCTCTTCCATGATAATCCAAACGAGAGAAGAGCACTTAATAACACATCTTTGGTGCACAGATTTAAATGAAAAGAAAATGTGGTTGTGTGCAATTGTAATTGTTAAAAAGGAGAAAAGAACTGTGCTGGTCACTTACCAACTATTCTGAGATTTAGACATGACAGGTTTTGTTCAGCAAAGCTAGTACTAGTTCTGGAACCCATTATAATCCAACTTGATTTCCAGATCCTAAACAGAGTCAGCAAAAATTTGTGGAGGGTTAGGGAGCATTTCTTCGCTTATAGTTCAGCCAAGCCCTACATGACATCATTGAAGAACAATTTTGTCTATCATTTTTCAAAACGAATTCACATTTTCCCTATCATATTCCAGATAAGCTGTGGCCACAACTACTGCTGTTTACAAAATCACAAAGGGCATCCCACCTAAATGCTCATACATTCTTCTTTCAAGGGGCCACATATTCACCCTTYAGTGAGAGCTAACAGAGGTCACTTAAAGCCAGGAAGCCTGACAGAGATTTCCTCTACCCATTATCTGAGGTTTAAGTGATCAACACTCTGTGACAAAACACAGGCTCTGAAAGTTTCAGTCTTCACTCTGAAAATKTTTTAGGAAGGTCTCTGCACTTCGTAGGAGTAGGCACATACCTGGCAGCAAACACCAAAGCATCGAGAAAGCAGTGCCAAAGGGAAGTTGGTGCCACATCTGGTAGGACAAGGCACTGTGTTAACTCCTGCACTCTATGGAGCTGACCACTGTACAGCTTCCATGCAATTTAACARGATTCTTACTTTAAATAAATAACCCATGCACAGGTTTAATTCCAATTTGTGCAGGTTAAGGAGAAGATTAATATATAGTTATTTAACTTCACCATAAGATTTCTGCTTTTTAACACTCTGGTCAGAARAGCAGTGGTTTATTAGGGAAAGCTTCCAGTTGGAGGAGCTGGCTGCCTTCCTCAGTCTTATTGCCTGATTCCCATGCTACAGCCTTTGGCAGCGATTACCAGCCTCGGAGTCTCCTGCCTTTGCTAGACATAAACATTTTCCATAACTGGATTCCTTGTTTGAAAAACTGGTGTCCAGGCCCTAGAAGGCTCAATCCATGAAGAGTGTCCTCACAGAGGGGAAATGAAAATTAAATGCCAGCTACTATCTGGCTGTTTCCCTTTCTGGCCACCATCTCTAGCTGAGCAGTGAGTTCCACTGTTTGATTTGTACGTGGCTACTCAAACAAAGCCATGCCGCTTGTCAGAGTATGAGACACCACCAATGACCCCATTAGAGAGCAACGGAATTTAAAACTCTGGTAAAACTGACTGATCCTGTGAGTTTGACAGTTCAGTAATGCAGTTCAGTGCCTTCCATTCCATAACTGCAACTAAAAAATAGTTCAAGCATACATTTCGTCTAGAAAATTAAGCAGTATTCAGCACCATTGCTGAAAAAACAGTAACTATTCAACTGTGGCAACCGTAACAATTTTTACCTAGAGATTTACTTACCCGGTGTAGTAGAAAGCCTCCCTGCTCACTGCAGGGGAGTGGGAATGAGCTGATCTTTAAGGTCCCCTCCAACCCACACCACTCTAAGATTCAAAGATTCTATCATTTCTAGTTGCGAAATGGAATTAATTTCCAAGTTTTTAATAAAATTTAGTAAGAAATACTTAATAGGAATTTCCTCGGTGGCTCTGCTTTACCTACAGCCCCACCTCGCGGCCACAGCGCGGCCCAGCACCCTGAGCCTTCTCCCGGCCCCTCCTGAGCCTTCACGGGGCCCCGCCTGAGCCTTCCCTCAGCCCCGCCTCGCCTTCTCCGGGCCCCGCCTCGCCTTCCCCCGGCCCCTCCTCGCCTTCCCCCGGCCCCGCCTCGCCTTCTCCCGGCCCCGCCTCGCCCCCTCCGCCCCGCCCCAGCCCGGCAGCTCTTTAGGGGCCGGGGGTTGTCAGAGGTGGGGCTGTCCTACGGCATCGGCGGCTCCGCCCGACCTCACCTCCTCTCCCGCCTGCCTTTCCAGGGGCTCCTGTGCGCACTCTCTCCCTCCTTTCCCGTCCCCTCCTGCTTCCTCCTCCTTTTCCCTCCTGTCACCTCAGCTCCGTGCTGGCGCCGCGTCTCGCCGGCCATGGCGAGCAAGGACGGTAGGAGCCGCGCTCCGTGCCCCTGTCCCCGGCCGGGCTGTGGGGTGTGAGGGTGTGCATGTGCTCGGGGATGGCGGAGCGGGGCTGGGCGCTCCGGGATTCCTCCCCGAGGAGTTTCCAGGGGAGGTGGGAGTGGCGGTGGAGCGGCTGCAGTTTTCCTCCCGCCGGCCTCTCCCGAGGGCCCTGCGGGAGCCCCGCTCCTGCCCCGTCCCCCGGTAGAGCCCCGGCCGGGGCTGCGACCCCCTTGACCCCACTCCTCTGTCGGTTCATCCCTTCCCTTCCTGCAGTGCTGGAGGACACGGTGGAGGAGCGTGTCATCAATGAGGAGTACAAGATCTGGAAGAAAAACACCCCCTTCTTGTACGACCTGGTGATGACACACGCCCTGGAGTGGCCCAGCCTCACGGTGCAGTGGCTGCCTGATGTGACCAGGTGAGAGACGGCAAGAGAAGCCGGGAAGGCGCAGGGCTTCTTTTCCCTTAACCGTGTGTGCTGAGTAACTTAAGGATAAAAGCCATGCAAGACGAGAATAACTTGGCTTAGACTTTTCTTTGTAAGGTTGCAGCACTTTATTTTGCTTGCAGCTTTAAAAGCCCTTCAGGTGTGCAGAAGCATCGAGGAAAAAGGTCTCAAGCTGATACTTCACGAAAGTGTAGGTTAGCCTAGCAGAGGTGGTGTGAGCTGTGAAYACAGAACTCTTTCTCAGTTTATTTCTAAGTAAGAAATCCAGTGCTCGTTAATTCTGACCAGAGGAATCTATCTGCTAAATTAGCTTATTCTTAAAGACTGTTTTTCCTTGTGCACTGTATATACTCTTCTGTCCAAGCTATGGTATCTACAGTAAGCTTGAAATCATTTAAGCCTGAACTTATTTAAGAGAATGTTCTGAAACTGGTTCTTCACATCCTGGTTTTGTCCCTGGTTCATTGTTGACTTTGTATGTTTAAGTTTCCATTCTTCCACATTCCCCTGAAAAAAAATGTGGGCTCACCTTAATTTCTTAAAGAATCATGAAGATGGGCATAGAATCTGTTCATGTGCTAGTTACTACAGAACTTCAATTGTTGCAGTAACAACTCAGGGCTCCACTGAGGTAATGGAGAAGGACTGGTACAACATGAACGTAGGTAGGTTTTAAAATATGTGTAAGCTGCATGYAATTATCAGAGGATGGTCTCTTTCTTCTGTCAAGTTCCACCTTACATGTGGGATGTTTTACATGTTGGTTAGGTGATCACTTCATTTGGTGTACCAGAATGTTTGGGGATGATGTTGAGAGATGTCAGCTAACTAGTCATGGCATGGTGAAAATGAAATGGGATTTGAGGGGGTGGTGCCCTTATGAGGAACATTTCTGCTTGCCTCGTGTTTTGCAGATTGGCTTAATATTCAGTTTAAAACCTGGTATTTCCAATTATCCAGTGTCAAAATATGTAAGCCATTTAAGGCAAGGACTGCCTCTTTGTATGGCACCTATGATGGGACACCTGTTCYTGATGCAAGTAAGTGCATGTGCATTGTGTGTTTCTTGTTTGGTTTTGTATTTTTTCCCTCTCTACACTTGGAAGTAGGGTAGTAATTCCGGTGGTAGTTTATGATTACCCAGATGATTCCTGATTGATTGGATTCATGATAATTACAATACAGGCAACATAATTAGTTTGTTACTTTCAAGAATGTAGAGGTGGCTTGGCTTTGACTGCTCAAATTTGTCCTTTCAGAGATAAATGGCACTGTCCATCCAGCTGTTCACTTTTGACTAAATGTGGCATTTAACCACCAAAAGAGAAATTTKATTCTAGTTACCATAACTTGTAAAAGCTTCTAAGAGAAGTAACTAAAACAGGTTGCYGGTTTTTGCCTCTGGATTTATGTTTTATAGAAAGGAGGATTGTTTAGGATTGTTTCCTAAATCAATACTAGGGGACTCTATGGAAATTAGACAGAAGTAGTGATTGGTGCCACCTTTAACTGCTGTGCAATCTGTAACTGTCCCTTTCAAGCCACAGTGGCAATGTTTACTGGCTTGTATTGTCACTTGAGCCTTGCTGGTTGTGTCTTTGGCTTGCTCATGGCAGAGTCCAGTTTGCTTTACTGCAAGTTTGCAACAAAGGGAGGATCTCCTTGAGTGTCTCTTTTCTAGCTCCCTGCAGAGGTTTGGATCTTGGGGGTTATTGATGCAAGCTATGAAACTTCTGGAACTGAGTGCATAATTCTCTTCCAACATTTATAATTCTCGACAGGCCAGAAGGAAAGGAGTATGCTCTACACTGGCTGGTTTTGGGAACACACACGGCTGATGAACAGAACCACCTGGTTGTTGCCAAAGTCCAGATTCCCAACGATGATCGGTTTGATCCTTTGCAATGTGACAGTGAGAAAGGAGGTGGGTATGGAGCATTCTTAGGTTCTGTTTGAGCAGTATTATTACTGCTTTCAGTTGTTCTGATAATGTTRTTCTAACCTTCTGTTAAATACTGAACTGGATATATAGTTACCAGTCCACACTAATTCTAGATGAATAAGAAGAGGAAACTTCTTGTTTCAGAACAGCTTAGGTAACATTGATATACAATCCCTACTGGAATTTCTATCAGCTCTCTCAGTGATGTTGAAAACTGGTACAAATTTACCTCAGAGACTAAAGCTCTGAAAGAAGATTCCAAATATCAAGTGTTAATGCTGCTGTGTTATGTGATGTATTTCCTAGTCTTTGTGTGTGTTTAATAAGATGCTCCCAGTGTTTGTTGGAGTAGRGAAGATGCTGTGAAATGCTGTTTCAGCAGTCTAAAATAACTGATGTGGTAAACTGACATTTTTCTGACAACTGTAGAATTTGGWGGCTTTGGACCTGTGACTGGCAAAATTGAGATGGAGATTAAAATTAACCATGAGGGTGAAGTGAACCGTGCCCGATACATGCCCCAGAATCCCTGCATCATTGCCACAAAAACACCCTCTGCTGATGTGCTGGTGTTTGACTACRCTAAACATCCTGCAAAGCCAGGTGGGTCAGACTCCTTGGAGCTAAGCAAAATGCCTCTTGACATCAAGTGGTAAATGTATGTTTAACTGGGATTGGGAGAGAGTTTCTGGGCTSAGGAATTTAAAAGAGAAGGGCCATATCTTAAATGACTTTAACTGCCTGGTTATGCTCACTTTTTTGAGAGAATCTTGGTAGAAGCAGCCCTGTCTGAAGAGGTTCATGTRTAAAATATAACTGTTGCAACAGAARCAAAATTCTTGGGTGATAATSATGCTCCTATGGATTGCTGTGCAAGGTGATGCTAAATGGAAGGAATTTTCTGACTTTCAGACCCAAGTGGAGAGTGTAATCCTGACCTTAGATTAAGAGGACACCAGAAGGAAGGCTATGGCTTATCATGGAATTCAAATTTGAGTGGACATCTTCTCAGTGCATCAGATGATCATGTAAAAACCACATCTTTTCCCCTATTTAAAAAAACCCAACTCCTTCTAATTTATGCTGTAGTAGAAAACTGGAGAAAAGCTGTCCTAGTGCAGCTTTGTRTTGTTACGTGGGGAAGCTCTCACATATTGTAATTACATTTCTAAAGGCTGTCAGTTGGCTGTAGGGTGTAATCAGCGAGTTCTTTTTAAGTTTCTTGATGTAAGAACAAAATGTTTTTATAGTTGTCTGCTGGAAGAAACCCTTTAAACTGGCTTGGGTTGAGACCATAAATTASTAAGACTCTCAAAGATCAATTGAACTAATAGCTTATAAATTTCTTTGAGAACTTCAAATGTGTAAATTGGTTTTGTGACCTTAATAATCCTTGGGCCTCGAACTTGCAGAAAACTTATTGATTACTTAGCTCTCTTTTTATTTATGGCATACTAAGTATTCTTGTTCAAAACCAAAGAACTGCTTGAGGTGTGTCATCTCTGTCTATATAGAGAGTATACTTATTTATTTGAAAGATGATACAATCAGAGTCTGCATTTCAGTAGAATGTGGGTTATTTACAGACGGTGTGTTTGTGGGATATAAGTGCTGGACCCAAAGAAGGCAAGATTGTTGATGCAAAAGCCATCTTTACCGGACACTCTGCAGTTGTGGAAGACGTGGCATGGCACCTGCTCCATGATTCTCTGTTTGGATCTGTGGCAGATGATCAGAAGCTTATGATGTAAGTTAGGAGGTTTCTGGATAGTGCCTGCTGTGTGCTGCCAGTGGATCTAGTCCACAGCACTTGGATAAAAAGTCTGAATTGTGGAACAATTTTGTGTAGCTCTTTATGGAAATCAGCTGCAGTGATGGTGCAGAATCACTGAAATCTACATGCCATATAATGTGCTCACATCACTTGAAAAGAAGATGTAAGTAATAGGTATGTCAGCTTCCTGGTGCAAGCTGATCACATACAACAGATACAAAATATTAAAGGTTTTTGGAATGAAAACTAGCTTCAGAGGTGGGTTTAGTAAAGCAGTCTCTTAGTCTAAAGTGTAGGGAAGAACCTTCTGTAAAAACTTGTTTGCTCTCCCTCTTTCATCCCTGCCCCCGACCCTCCCCCAAACCCTTCATTGCCACAGTTGGGACACGAGATCTGATGCCACATCCAAGCCAAGTCACTCAGTAGATGCTCACACAGCCGAGGTCAACTGTCTGTCCTTCAATCCTTACAGCGAGTTCATTCTGGCAACTGGCTCTGCTGACAAGGTTTTTACTTGTGTATATTTTACATTCCTAAGTCGTGCTGATGAAAGCCATTATAGTAAAACCAGTTTCTTGCTACTTGTGTCTCCCAGACGGTGGCTCTATGGGATCTTCGAAACTTAAAGCTGAAACTCCATTCTTTTCAGTCTCATAAGGATGAGATTTTTCAGGTGGGTAAACTATTCACAAACTATAGAAAAAACCCAAGAAGAGTACTGAATTGGATGAGAACATGGAGATTTCTGTTCTTGCAAAACTCACTGTGGTGTGTTTGAGAATTATAGACAGTACCATGTAGTTTATTTCCTTTCTATACTTAAATTTGAAGCAAGTAGTGAACAACTTAACTGCTAAAAAGATACTGGGTGTTCAGAAGTACCTTTAGTACAGGTAGAAGGTTTCTCAAATTATGTGTTTTAGAATGGATTTGGGTTCAAACCTAATTTTGTGAACTCTGCCTATTTAATTAGGTGCAAGAAACCGTGACTTTTAGACTAATTTCATGAAATAYGGTAAATCTGTAGCAGTGAAATAATGTTGTCTGTTCAGTTTGAGAAATGTTAAGATTTTAAAGCAGTCTATTTGAGCTGCTGCATATCCTCTGTGCTGGAAGAAACTGATTTACAGGGTGTAGTTAAAAATTAGTGGCCACTGTGCTGTTTTTTTCAGGATATGGTTTGGAAATCAGTAACTGCWCCACTGAAGCTGTTTTCTTTCAATAGGTTTACTGGTCTCCTCATAATGAAACCATTCTTGCTTCAAGTGGTACTGATCGTCGGCTTAATGTGTGGGATCTAAGGTGAGGAGCAATTTCTTTCTGCTGGCATATATGAACAGATGGTTAAAGAAAAGTCTGCTGGCCTACATTATTTGGTAGATTTGATTTGTGCTATTCTCTAGCCTTCCTTGCTTACCTTAGGCCTGGTCTTTTGTGTGTAAATAGAACCAGCACAGTACATCTAATGTTACTTCTCCATCAGGATTTCTTGCTAATAGCATTGTTTTCTGTTGTCCACTTGTTGCCTGGATTCAAAAGGCAAAACTTGCAATGGTGTTAAAGTGGTAAGATAGAAAGCAATTCTCTAATGAAAGCTTTCTGGTGCACAAGTATAGCTATGTGCAGGTGTGATRAAGGATTTCTACAACTTTTAAAAGRCYAATTAATTAGTGTATCTAGCAGGTACATCCAATCTTGCCCCAGTAACCCACCCTTGGGTCAGCCCCTTTGGAGTTGGTCCAGGGGTTTCTTTGCCCTGTTWCTTTTTATGTCTCTTAAGTTCTGGTAGAAAACAACATGTCCTRGTCAGAAGTTCTCTTCTTAAGAATAAGACTAAACAGAATTTCAARAATGTGTTAAGGTTAGCTTATTATTCTAAAATGTGAGAGAGGGTAGGAAAAGTACTAGAAATTACACAATTGCATATTAAAAATCTAAAAAGCTACAAACATGAAAAAAGCTAAAAATCTTCACGCATCACACTAGTGATTTTTACTTCCATGTGCATCACAAGTTAAGATTCCATTTCAATAATGACAGTGCCAGACAGTTGATGTTTTATATCTGATGCTTATAATTATTTTACAATCAGAAAAACCAATTGCAAATATGGAAACAAATGCCAGGAACTGTTCAGTTGAGCTGCTATAGAATGCGATTGTCATTGTAATAAAAAGTATAAATTACTTTCTTGCAGTAAAATTGGAGAAGAGCAGTCTGCAGAGGATGCAGAAGATGGGCCTCCTGAGCTGYTGGTACCCTTTTGTTCCAGTTTCAATGTGCTGACATGCTGTGTGGCAGTGAGATGTCACTGTGCTGCTGAAACTGCACCTRTTCATAAATCTTCTCACCTCTCTGGTTTCCAGTCCATTGCTCTAACTTCTGTAGGCTACCTCTGTTCAGTTCTGAAGGTTTCCACATTTCCTGTGTGACTCTGTAAGTGTCCTAGMAATAATCATAAGAAATATGGCTGGATTTCACAGCCCAACCCTTTTGAAGAGACCATTCTGAGATGTCAGTTGTTGCTATAATAATAGGAACTGTTGTCTCAAATGTTGTCTCAGCAACTGCATCTCTGTCCATAAGCAGTGATGGGAAGCAGTTGAACACACACCTTGCTTATGTCTGCTGTGAATCCCTAGTAGCAAATGTTTCTTTGTGTAGTTGTTAGTATGAAGAATTTAACTTAAGAATCCCAGGTTTTAACATTTCTCTAGAGCTGAAATGGCTTACTGAAGCTTGTGGTGTTTTTTTAACAGTTTATTCATGGAGGACACACTGCCAAAATTTCAGACTTCAGYTGGAATCCTAATGAGCCTTGGGTAATCTGTTCTGTATCAGAGGACAACATAATGCAGATATGGCAAATGGTGAGTGTCACAACAGCTCTTGAGTTGCTCTGAAGCTTTTTGTATAAATGAAACWGAAAAGGCTTGTTCTTAGGGCAGCTTGTGCCTTCAAGGACTGAAAGTTGCCTATGCAGTATTATTTCTTGCTCTAGTCAAACAGTGCAAGACTTTAAAAAGAAAACAAATCCTAAAGCAACTTGAATAAAAGCAATGGCTAGATAATTCTTAATTCCAAGTCTTAGGTACTAGTTCATATTAAAATTTATTCTTAATAAAGCAGTTGCAAACGTCTATCAAATAATAGCCAAGACTTACTCTTTCTGTCCATTCCATATGTTGGCAGTAAAGCAAGATACCTTTTAACTCCCTGGTTAGTTCATGTTACTTTACATATTACAGGAAATTGATCAGCTGTCTTTAAATGGGGAATAAAAAAGTAATTTGGGAATAAATTAGGTTAAAAAACTAATGGACTTAAATGTCTATCACAGGTCAGAATTCTTTTTTTTTTTTAATACCTGTCCTCATTTTGTTTGTTTAGACTGAGGTTGAAATAATTCCAAATAAAAAGTTCATAATATGGCTAATGGTTAAATGGCTGCTGGCTTTTACTGTTGAAATATAACGATGCAAGAAGGCTATTGCCAAAATGTAGCCACTGTGTGCACATTGTTCAATTTGGCTGCCCTTTAAGAAAGGGCAGGGAGAAAATCCCTTCAAGGAGGGGATGATGGCTGTGCCACCGTGGTATTATCAAGGTTTTTTCTATATGAGGGGTAGAAAATTTTTTAAAAACAATTGTGTGTATCACTTGTAACATTTTGTGTCTTCAGGCTGAAAACATTTACAATGATGAAGAACCTGATATASCAGCAGCCGAACTGGAGGGTCAAGGAATGTAACTTTTCTTCCTCAAGGAACTACTGGGAATCACATAGTGATATAATTCGACTACCGTATACAGAAAATAAAGTCCCCCCCCAAAAAAAACCAACCCAAAATCCAAACCAAAAACCTCACAACTTCAGGGCAGAAGCATTACATGGAAACAAGAATATTCCTAATTGGAATAAGCAAAAAGCTTGTATAATCAAGTTCTCATGGGATCCCTCTGGTTATGTGGGCACTTTGAGGTGTTGTATATTGTACAGCCATTACCTTTAGAGAAAATAGGTGTTAAGTCATTCTTATGTYTGTATTTTTAAACAAACTTAGTGGGTTACTGTAAATAAAATGATCACATACTCTTCACACATAGAAACTGTACAAAAAACACCCCTTATTATTAATATGTAAAAAGAACCTTTCACTTTTACACACCATTTTTCAGTGACTTTGCATAAATAAAACCCATTACAAAAAGGTTTGGTGTGTTTAATATCCACTGGCTTAAGTTGAATGCCTTCTTGCTTGAATATAATTTTAATTGCTACCTCGTGATAAAGTTATGTATTTTTTTATCGTAACTTAGCCCAAAATTAAAGGTCTGGGAAGATTAGAGTTGTCTTCATGCAAAAAAATTAAAATAGATAACTTGACTCTTTCACAAAGGGAATGGATATAGGAGTTTTAGGGAATTCAGGGGAAGAGCTAGTAGATCTCATGTGAAGTTCAAGTATAAATCTTGAGCAGACTCAAATAACTTCTTTGTGTTCAGGTGAGTAGTGGTTGGGTTTTGTGTGAATGTATTRYRGGGKTTTTTTGTGGGTGGTGGTAAAAGCCCTGTCCTTTTTTTCTTAAATGTCAAGGTGGGAGTGCCCTCGGTGAATTGGTGTTGCCTGTGTTTAGTTAGAACCCTCCTGTAGTATTTTTTTCATTAAATGAGGCAATGGGGCAGTTGTCTAAAATACATAAGTGTCTGAACAAATACAAGACAAACACAGGTTGCTTCTAAACATATGACTGTTTGAAAAACTGGAGAATTCTGACTGAGTAGAAGCACTATTTCTCCATATTTATTATGGATCTACAGACAGGTAATGGATTATGTTGGGAGCTGTCAGTCAGACAAATCTAAGTCAGTGTCTAACTGGAGTTTAAATTAAAGCTCTTACTTAAGACAGACCTCAAGTAAATGAATTGCTGACTGTCCTGATCTTTCTGCTCAGGCTGAAAATACARAGATGCCTGTGGTGACTGATAGAATGTGACACCTTGCTCTCCTCTCACTGGAACTGTAACAAGTTCATAGACTGCTGGGCTCAAGCTGCYGAGCTGAATGTGCTGGCTCTGGCTGGGATGGAGTGCCTGTCCATCCCAGCAGTGATGTGCTGGGRGCTGTGGTTTGGATTTAGGGCTGGAACAGTCTGATAACACACTGGTGCTTTGGCTCTTGCAGAGTGGTTCTTGCACTCATGTAGGCTGGGGGGGGAAGGGGTGTGAGCTGGGGAGGRGACACAGCTGGGACAGCTGACCCCGGCTGGCCAAAAGGATATTCCTTTCTTTAGGCCATGCTCAGCAATGAAATGGGTGGAGGAAGGTGAAGAGGGCCTTTTGTGGTGGCCACTGCTTAGATGGTGGCAGGACACTGACCTGTGTCCAGGAGGGTACAAGTGATTTTATCCCCCCACACTCTGCTTTGAAACTCCTCCAGCTGTACGCTGGAGATTTTCTTCCTATTCTCTCCCCCCACCTGCTGGGCAAATGCAAGTGACAGCACATGATAAGCATTAATCACTGAATTCTGGGGTGGGTTTTKGTCAGGCCCCACTTTCTTTTGACAATCATTCTGACACATGGAGCTCTTGAAAAGCTGGAAATTAAGATGGCAATGGCCCAGCTTTCTGGAAAACCAGAAATATTTCCCCAAGAGCATGATGGTGGCTCCTCCTAGTGCAGAAAGAGAAGTGCTCTGTGACATGACCCTTCCCTCCTGCAGGGCCTCTTCAGCGCTCAGTCCCATAGCCAGTRTTTAATTCGGAGAAAAGTTGGCTAAAAGTGCTGTTACTGAGAACGCAGTGCTGGGACCAACACAGTTCTTAATTTGCAAGTAATTTTTTTTCAGTATTTTTTAATGCCTGAGTAGCATGTTTGTGAAACATTGGAAGATTGCATTTAAGTCTATTTAGCTGAATGCCTTAAGATTGAGAGGAAGTAGATAACTGCTTATGCACTGCTGTTTAGTAGCATTAAATATAATGGAAGTTGAAGCTTAAAAAAAAGCACAAACTGTCAACCTGAACAATGGCTCCAGCAAGATATTTATGATAATAGAGAGGAGTTACTTTAGGTGTGCYAACACAGTATTTATGGAGTATACTTAGTTCAGTGTGTGTTACTGCTGCAGGTTCACATGTGCAGGGGCAAAGAAGCACGACCAGGCTTTCCATCCACTGGCCTTTCTTTTCAAGGGAACTGTGTACTGAGTTTTGAGACCTACCTTTTTTGTACTGGCTGTTTCCAGAAAACCAGGTATAACAAAAACTACAGAAGATAATTTAAAATGAAAAAAAAAGGCTGGTTTAGGATGACTTCCTCACTTGTTCTCAATAGCTATGTAGTTGATGCAAATTTTCAGTGTTTTTTCTCCCCAAGGTTTTCAGCCTACACCAAGGAAATCTAAATACTTTCCTCTTCGTACTGAAATACAGTGAAATTATAAACTGTATTTGAAACCRTTTCTATTTCAACAGACATGTTTTTCCAGAAGTTGAATGATAAAAATCTTCAGCCAGGCTCTCATCACACCACACCAGTACTTCTGGAGAGCAGCAGCACTCTTGCACTGTGACAGATGGGTCTTTTATTGCTAATAAGGCCAAGGGCCATTACTAGTGTGCATCACAAATTTTTGCTCCCACTCTTCCCCAAGAATGGGAGTTTGCATCACCAACTCCTCATAAGATAAACTTGACAGAAACATCGATGAGGAGCTGCAAGGTGTTAAGAGTAACTGATATATTTTGGAAAACTGATAACTATACAACAACAAACGTAAGAGGATGTATACCATTCCTGCATTTTGCTTCAATGTGGCAAAAAGCAAGTTCAGGGTTTTTCCTTTACTGTGTGCAAGAACTGTATTTGCTTTTAATGTTAGACCCTCAAGACCATTAACTGTTGGATATCAGGTAATTTTTGATATGTAGCCACATGGTTTATGCCATTATCCAAACTATACTTCATCATCCTCTGTGTGTATGTTCATCCTCAGTACCTCTTCAGCACTGAAACAGCTGAACAAAGCTTAGTAAAGCTGAGTAAACTCTACAGGAAGCAAGTATTTAAGTCAACCCCCAGTTTGACCTGCTGCTTTCCCACCACTGGGATGTTSTGTGTGGTAGATTCTTTGTAATTCTTTCAACATCAGCTTCTATCTGTGAATTTCACTCCCAAGGCTTCCCCCAGTTCAGGCAGAGTCCAGCATAGGTAACAGAAGGTTTGGAGAGTTCAACTATTCTTCTCCTTTAAAAGGCAACAGATTTCTCTTTTAAAACATAAACAGTGCATCAAATCCTTATGCTTGAGAAAAGGGTWAGGAGAAGAGTCAGTAACCACCCTGCAGGATACAGCAGATGCACAAAGCCAGCAAAAGTTTTGATGAGCAGGATTTATAAAACAGGCAGCACGACCAAGACCAAATGGTTTTGTATGAGTACATGTTTAAGGGTTAGAAACCAACCAAACAACTCCAACTAATTATGTGGATTAAATACCAGCATTGTATCTTGGACTTGGCAGAGCTGAGGTGGTTATTTTGACCCTTAACACCAGGACATAAACTTGGTGGAAGTGATAATGAATAATGTCACTTGGTTGTATCCACACTGAGTTAAAAAAAGAGTGACTTAAATTCGTTTCCTTAGCTTGAAATACCCTAAAACGTAACAGGGTATTTAAATTTGTAAAGGCTCTAAGAGGTTACTTTCTTGAAGTGGAACTGTAGGAGCAGTGTTCTTGGCACGGTCTGGAATTACACAAAGGGCTGCTTCAAGTGTCCCAGTCCATGAGAGGCACAGCCCAGATCCCTGTCTGAACAAGAAATCCAAAACAATGTGCAACCTCAAAGCTAAAAGATAACAAGCAGTTTTAACAGAAATTAAAATAAAGTCTTCGTGGGCAGCACRGTATTCTTAAATTACTTAAAAGTTCAGGCTAAATGGGTGCCAGAGTCAGCAAGATCTGTAAAAGCTAACACTCAGATGAGGCTGAGTTAGGCTGTTAGAAGGAAATACAACCTTCCTTCAAAAAGGAATTCCTAAACAAGAAGAAAAAGGTGGAATTACCAGAATTTAAATGTAAAACATAAAATTTTAAAAATCCAAACAACCAAATAAACCAAACCAGAAAGGAACAAAAAGTTCCTTTCCAAAAGTGAGGAATAACTTTTAAAGGCATAAAAACAAGTATCTCTTACATCAAACACATGTGCCTGGAGGGCTCAGAATGCAGCTGGTGAAAGAGGTTTTCCCCTCAGACCTACTCTTCACATGAGAAGTAAAGCTCAAATGTGTGTGTACATGTGTGCATGTGAATTAACAAGAGAGACTTAGCACTTGATTAAAAAAAGGAAAAAGCSAAAAATCCCCAGCTATTAACTGTGACCACATTTCCCTCTAGCAAAAGCTTGCAAATCTGACCAGTTTTCAAAAGGAACTTAGGAAAAGTGCGAAGTTCCAAGGAAGTAATAACAGATTTGACTTCTAGATCAGCATGCACTGGAAGAGAGGCAAGAAAGAGGTGTTTACACCGGAGCAGAGGCAGCACCTTTGAGGAGGTAAGTCTCAGATATGAGGGAATACTTTAAAGTACAAGGAGAGAAACTAAGACCAGACATTGTACTTGGATTTCAAAATTCTTGGCACAGCTCTAGAAAAGGCTCAAGGCTAGGACCTCTGTTGCTCATTTTATAAAATGGGTATCTTCAAACAAATTAATTTTTAAAATTAAAAAAAAAATTGTTAATACTGTCTTCAAAGAGTCACAAAGCACATCAGAGTATGTTGTTGTAGAGCAGTTCTAAATGTTACCTAGAAACAAAAGACAAAAAAGGAA